TTGCAGTAAGATCCCCCTAAAATGACCATGGAGAAATAATTTTGTTCAGTGCACTTAAAGTGAAACAAACAGTAGTTTAGAAAATGCATCGTAACCACTGGTTTATTATACAGAGAACTCTGCAAGTACTAAATTTACTATAAAAGCATACAGCATACCAGAGAAGCAGAACGAAAAAACCCAAAAAACCCCCCAGTGTGAACAAGGTTAAGAAGCATTTGTGCAAATGGATGTATTCCTGGCTTGGAGCCAGCTGGGGAGAAAAAGAAATTGCTATACATAGATTCCCAGAAGGTGTAACAGAAGCTGCAGCAGACTCTTGGAGGCTGAAGTATGTCAAGAATGAGATTAGCGATTAGTCGTTTCAGACAACTTAAGCGGAGTCTGCTCACAGGTAGTAGACTCCACAAAACTCTAAACATGGAAGCAATCGTCGGTGTTTTTCTGCTACTTGTGACAGCAAAGTATAAACATGCTTAATTTACTAAAAGGGAGAAGGACACTTCAGCACCCATTTAAAGGTCCTGGCAACTTGACAGCAGCAGGCTTTAATTTCCGTAGATGTAGAAGTATCTTTTCACTGTCATTAAAACTCCCACCTCTGAAAGTACATTACCAGAGTAACTGATTTTGATCAAATACGATTGTACAAGCTTTATACATGGCATATTCAAATCGCTTTCATTTTTTTTTAATCCAAAATGAAGTATACTTTGCCAATAAAATACTATTTCATTTTTTGTCACAGGCACACAACAACGTCATGTTCTTTATTCAGACAGTACACATCTATCCATTTGTTCCCACGTAAAGAAATACAGCAACAGGTTTTTGGTCAATCTGCCTATAGCAACAGCTGCTGCTCTAAGACAGTTACTTTACATTTTCTGCGACTCCCTCCGTAACTGAGTTGGGCCTGCTCAGCAGAACAAACACAACTGTACACAACAATGACGTACTTCTGAGGTAGTAATATCTTAACTGCTCTTAAAGCATTAATTTTTTGAACATTTCACATATGTATTACAAATAAAAGGGAAAGTTGGGTACAAACAAAAGAGAATATACACCACCTAGGATCAGTGTAAGACAAGATCATCGCGGAGGTAGAGCTGTAAACCTGTGAAGCTTACAGCAGGAAAAACTTGCCGTGCCCCCAAAAGCTCAGGCTTATTTCCCCTTAATAATGGTTAACGGTTTTAACTGAAAGACGTAATCAGTTACACAGGTTAACAACAACAAGGCAAAACTCTCCTTTAACTCCATGCATTGAGCGGATATAACTGGTGCGGTGGAACTCTCATTTTCCCCCATATTCAGGATATCTTTAACGTTAATTTTCATACACGCCTTATTTTACATAATTGCTTTATCAACACTTTTTCTATTTATACACGATTGTTATGTTTATAGCTTACAAGTTGTCTGTCAAAAACCCTTCAATTCAAGAGTGTAGAGTGGATTTATCTGTGGTGTTGATATAAAGGGAATTTTACCACGGCAAGTTTTGTTTTTTACCATGGAGCAAAAGGTAAAAAAAGCCACCCAACAGCTGGGAAGATGGGCTTAGATTTATCTGGGGGGCAGATGGATGTTGTCCTTCCCATGAACCCACACCTTTGCTCTCTTGCTGGAGAATGTGCTAGCTCTTCCAGTATATTGCACTTCTGCACTGAGAATGAAGAACATGTTAGCACTGTTGCAAGAGACTGAGAAAGGGGATTAAACAAGAGAGCTAAAGCCTCCTCACACTGAAATACAGCAAATCTAAAAAATTCTGGAAGGCATTGGTGCTACACTGGAATTAAGGTTTAATTTTAGACTCAAAATATGGCATATTATATGTATTTTTCCCTAAATCATAGCATTTGCCACTGAAATACAGCAAATCTAAAAAATTCTGGAAGGCATTGGTGCTACACTGGAATTAAGGTTTAATTTTAGACTCAAAATATGGCATATTATATGTGTCCTTCCCCAAATCATAGCATTTGCCCTGGGAGTATGAAGCTGTTTTTTTTTAAATTTATAGGTAGCAATTTATAATTAGGGATGAATTAAAGAAGTTTGACACTGGGAACCACATTTCTCAAAGCAGCAGTTTTAGTTAATTGAATTGTTACCTTTCTTGCTTCTTCTTGAGCTAAGGGATACAGTGGTTTACAATAAAATTAGTCTGTAAATAAATGCCTTCAATCAGTGGTTATTTTGAGAAGAGGAGAGCTTACCTTCTGCAGAAGAGAAAATTACTCTTTCCCCTTTTGAGATAATTGCATTTTCAGGCCTCTCTGAGTTCTGGAAAGTGATGACTATTTGGAGACGTCAGCTCTTTGTGAGGTGTAAAATTACAAAGTACAAGGAGAAACCATCAAGAATCTTAAAGGAATTCAAAGTGGACTCTTTTGTAATCTATTCTTACAAACCTTCACACAGTACTTAGAAAATCTTGAATACAGAGTTGAAAAGTCAGTAAGAGGCTATCGTAAAGGTTGTCTGAAAGCCCTCCCTGCACACCTCTCTCTGGACTTACTTCTTCGAAGGTTAACCTGAAATTCATTGCTTGAATTTACAGTAATAAGTTTTGGAATAATTCCCTCATTGTTTTAATTTACTTTAAATCACCGCCAGATATCTCTGACTCCTATTTTAACACGATTTGTCAGGAAATACACCAAAAATTAATAACACAGTAATAGGTTACACAGTATTTGAGTCCAAACTGTAAGTGCCCACTCATTCACATTCTAATTTATAATTTTCAGTGCGGTCCTTTTCATGGGAGTCATATGAGCCAATGACTAATTCCCACTATCAACAAATGTCTACTGCAAATTAGCAGTAAGAAAAAAAAGGAAAAAATGCATTGTGCCGTGTGCTCATTCAGTCTACAGATGGAGTTTTCAATATGCAGCACCAAATGTTCTGTGGTATTATCTTATACAAGTCTTAGGAATGGCAAGCTTTGTAACAGCATGCCTCCAGTCTTCCTAGAAACAGAAAGAACAGTTTACACTAAGGCTTATAGACAAAAAACATGAGCGTATTTTTATAATTTAAAAAGCTGTTACAATGGATAATGACCTCCTAAGCATATAAAGAAAATGGAACAGATAGTCACACTAATCCCACGAATGCTACTGACCACAGGTACAGTAAATAGGGTGGGCTTGGTGAGCCAATGGGAAGCCTGCTGTAGCACTCATAATTTGAAACCCTTGTAATTAAAGATGAAGGGAAGGGGGGAACAGTCTATTAGCATCTTAATCCTTCACCTGTATGCAAACTGACTTTTTAACCATACATTTCCTAGTGCTGAGATTGGAATGGCTTTAAAGGTCTACATAGAAAGGCTCTTCATTCCTTGGAAAGAGTACAACCTAATGTAAAGAATGACAAATATACATAAAAATGCAGAGTACTTGTTTTAATAATAAAATACTATTCTTAAAGCAGATCTTTAGCCATCTGATCTGATCGCCACCCATCTTCTTGAGGAGAATATTCTTCTCAAGAGCTACAACCTGCCTTTCAGGTTACCTGCCTATTTCGTTAGTGTAAGCTCCTCAGCCTCAGCAATTTGGGCTGCTAGCAATCATTTCCATAATGTTTGCAGGAGTTAGACATGTCATAGTTTATTTGTGCAAAAGATATGCTTGAGCACTGGACTAGATGTCAGAAATCTGGATTTTGTTCTTGCTTCTGTAGGTGACCTAGATGGGTAACTTGCAAGGCTACCACTCTATTCCTCAGTTTCTTCATCTGTAAAATGGGGATAACGATATTCACTAGCTTTTAAAAACCATTTTAAGATATACATGGTTAATTATTAAGCAGAGTGGATTCTCCCTGTGACTAACACACAGCTGCTAATACACTGACTTATCCACTTTCATATCAGCATCTTTATTTAAACATTCGCTATTCTTACTGCGACATAGCAAAACACTCATTTTGTCAAATAGCAATTGTAAAGAAGCTTTTATCCAGCACAAGTGTAATTAGAATAGTAGAGAAGTGATGAGATTGTCATCAGCTTTGAGCTCGAGGGACTATCTGGTATTTTAAATTCAAGTAACTGAAGTAGCAAAAATAGTTTCCGATTCAAGTCTGCCCTCCACTGGCTTTAATGAAACACTGCTAATACATTTTGGATCAATGGTCAAAAATAGTCCGATTCAAGTCTGCCCTCCACTGGCTTTAATGAAACACTGCTAATAAATTTTGGATCAATGGTGTCTTTTTATAATCTAGGCTCCCTGGCAGATTCCTGTTCTTTGTTCTTGCAAAAGCCCACCAGTTTTTATAAAGTCCCATCTAGGCTCCCTGGCAGATTCCTGTTCTTCACGTTTGCAAAAGCCCACCAGCGTATCATTCATTTCAGTTGCTGGAACTAATACACAACATGGGAAGTAACATTCTGCACATGGTTTTAAAGACATTTAATAGACAAACTACAGAAAAATATTTTGCTATGATACAATTAACAATTCTAATATATAGTGCTATATGTACCAGTCAAGTACTACTGCCCTAAAAGAGATTAGTATCAGTCTAGTCTAGTACTCTGTCACTAGAAGCAGTCTTTCTCCCTAAAACATGAAAGGAAAGAACAACTTCTATTACTGTGTTTATTTTAGAGAGAACTTTCCATCACAAATCCCACACGCAATTAACTCATCTCTTAACTCAGGAGGACTCATTTTCCTTTCTATATTTAAAGTAGAAAGGTAACGGGGGCGGGGGGGAAGCTATCTTAGTTATACTTACATAGATTCATCTTACTTACTCACATAGATTCATCTAGCATGATTTCAACCCCAAGGTGACATTTGTGTCTGGAATGCAAAATCTGTACCATTATGCACTGGAGGATGTGATCAAGCTGGAAAGCCTCTGCTTCATTTATCTTGTCATCTTCATGCTTCGTTACACTTAACAGCATCTAATTTCTTGTGACTGCTACCTAAACCTAAAATAAAGGAGTAAAATGTGGTTTCTTCAGATGCGTACTTAATATACACTTGGAAAAAAGGGAAAGAATAAAAGTATTACGGAAATGTCATTTTACTTGGACCTTTCAAATGCTTGAAAATTAGGGTCAGATTCATAGCTTGTGCCAAGTGTGCCTAACAGACTTTACAAAGCAGAACATAAGGAACTTTCAGAAGTTTCTTGAACATCCTCTGCATCTGCTAAAATTCTTGCTGAAATGGCTATCATTCAAAATAAAACCTTTCGGAGTCCATGTAACATTTTACAGGAAGAGGTGAAAGGCACACAACTAATCTGTCCTTACTGTTTTGTGTTGGGGTTTTTTTTTTTCCCCTTTAGGTAGGAAGCTATGCAAAAATCTACAGAGATCTCATTAATCACTCCACCATCTACTGTTACAAATCACCCTCTTAAACCGGAGTCCAAAAAAATGGTATCTAAAATGACTGCCATTCTGCACTTCTAGGAGATTACTGTTTGAGCTTTTTAATAATCCTAACTGAAAAGCTGCAGCATTGCCACACTGAAACACCGATAGTTATTTTCCTGTAAGGTCATTGTGTTCAATGTGTTAGTGGAAAGAGTCTAAGATGAATTTACAGCTACATGACTTAGGCTGTCAATATATAGAGAGGATACACTTGCGTGTCTACTTCACAATATTTTAAAATTAATAAAATCTAAAAATGTTTGTCTGGGCTACGTATGGCATATGATTATGCTAAAATAGACGAAGTCGGGACAGAAATTATGTATGAAAGGCAAAAGGGACAGCATTTTAAGAGATTAAGTTTTATTTTAATAGAAGAGTAAAAACTTCATTAACCATGAGTTGCGCTTCCTTTAATCCTGATAGCACTACACAAGACTTGCAAAGGAAGAAGAGAGTTTTCCTTGATCACCTTCTGGTATCTATGAAAGGCCCTAATTACTCCTTATTATAATACTAAATTACTGACTCTAATCTTCCACGTGCTGAGGATCTCAAAGAATTTTCCATGAAATCTGAACTACTGAAATGAGAAAAGTAAGACTGACATAAATGCTGATACTTTCGGCAATACTGGTTCGACTTCAAGTTCTGAAAGGCAGTTCTTTCTGGAGTGTCCCCTTCAGTAGGAAGCTCATGCAACACATTCTGATGGAGCTTGGCAAGAGGAGGTGTGAACTGCTCCTCGCCTTGTTGGTCACGGGTAAGCCATGCTGAACCAGGAATATGACAAAAGGTTTGTCCTTAAGTTTCTGAAGTGAATTCACCCAAAGTGAACAATCAAGATAAATTAATACCTACATTCAGTTTATCTAACTAATTTGTTTGACATTTAGATATACTGAGAAAGATTCAGTTTATACATATACATGACACATTTACTTTGTTGACTGGGTAATCTTATCCACGATCTGGAAATCTACGTATTTTTACCTTTCCTGTTATGCTCTGAACTCTGTAATTTGCATTACATGTTGTTAAAAACTATTATAATGACAACACTAAAACCTAGACTATCTTTGAAGTAAGAATAAAAGCTATGCCTTAAATTCTATTTAAATTAAAGCTATGCTAAATTCAAATTTAATTTATACTTAAAAAAAACCAAATTAATTTTAACAAACACCCTTCCTGTTTTGGAGGCGCCAAAGGAAAAGGATACTTGGGGATATAAACAGTAACTGAAACTATGTACTTTTTTTTAACAGTGACTTAAGATAAAAACCAGAACAAACTCACACTCTAGCAAAAAACCCACACAGACCTATTCCACATCCACCTGGCATATTTCAACTCAGAGGTTCTTCTCTTTGCTTTACTACTTGTTTTCTCTTTGCTTATAACCAGGAGATAATTAGTAGCTTCTTGTTGTTGTTGTTGTATACATTTATCTTGTAAAATCTGAAAGAGTGCATCCAAAACCACTATTGTAAATCAGTGAAGCAAATGCTGTGCATCAGTTGCTTACGATTTTCAAATATTTCATTGTCAGAAAAAGTTGTTTCAGCAGCATGTTTAATTTTTGTAGATGGATGCTAAGGAATGACCATTACAACAAATGTTCACTGAAGAGAGGAAGCAGAATGTGACTTTTAATTACAATTCTTATTTTTCAAATGCTCCAATTCCATGTTCTGTATCAAAGAGAAATATTTCATTTTCATGTGCAATGCTGCCAACTGATTGCAAAGACTTACATTCTCAGTTTCATGATTGCCTCACCTTAATACAATGTACTAAGGTCAGAACTGGTATAAAACCAAGTATACTGAGGCAAAGACTGTTTTGGAAATCAGAATATATTCACTGTTTTCCTCATCTTGTTTCAATCATAGTAAAAATTTGCCTAAAACAAGCATCTTTTAAGTCCTTTAAAATCTTTACAGATGTGTGCTGTTATAACAACAGCAACAAAAATCTAGTTGAGATCTGTTGACAAATGAAAGGTTTACATTCAAATATCTTTAGAGGAAAATCCTCCTAGAGCTACTGAAACCTTCACTGCTCAGATGCTTTTAAAAAAAAAGCTTAATTTAAAAACAAAGAACAAGTAAATATGGGTATTAGTTTTGGCCTCAGAAAATCCTTTAATCCATCAGATTTTTGCGTATCACTGAAAGTATGCAAGGAATCAGATTATTGTTTTCATCCTCGGCCAAGTACTGCAATCATAAAAACATGCATTTAAGAACTGTTGTGTTTTTAGAGGAACTACCTATGGTAAAAGGTAGTAGTGTCTTTAAATGTAACACTTCATTTTCATTATTAAATGAAGATGGGGAGAATGGGAAAGTAAAATTTCAAACAACAGTAAAGTTGTGCAGCAGGTAGTATTCCATTTTCAAGCACAACAGCAGTTCTTCTCAAAGGTCTCTGAAAGCATTTGATGAGGTTCTGTTGAATGCTGTCTCACCTCAGGCTGCTGTTTCTCCTTCACTGGCCTCAGGAGCTGTAATGAAAAATAACGAAATTATTACTGTGTTTGCGCTCAACTCCATATTACCACTCAGTTTTGTTTTATTTTTAAATAAATAAATTGTATAGTTATTGTGTTGAATATAGAAAATTACAACACTTTGCTTGTTCCTACCACTCTGACCATTCTACTAATTTTCTAGATAGGCATCTGACAATAACACTTTTCTTGGAAATATCCCATATCAGACAGTGACCAGAGTATAGCCAACGAGTATCACACAGAAATTCATATGAAAGAGATTCTAGTCTGGACAGAAATTTTTTATATGCATTACTGCTCTGTATTCCCAGTATGTTTTGAAAAGATGCTAAATGCAAAAACTCAAACATATTCACCCCCAAGTAATCTAGCTCTTAACAGTCAAGAAAAAGACATTTTAGAATTCTGACATTTCCCAAATGACATAATCGGACAGTCTTAGTCTTCTTTATTTGGACTGTAGTGCTTTCCATTTCTGTTTGTCTCTTTGTGAAATGACAAGGAACGTTTCCCAGACCAGCAGTACTGCAGAGTAGCTGGGATGTATTAGACTAAATGAATGGAAATACTAAAATGGAATGAAAGAAAAGGACCATCATTACTACGGCACAGTAAAAATAGAAAGTTTAATCATAATAATAAAGTGAAATAGAATATCTAGTCATAATATACTACCTTTTTTACTGACATTGTAAAGATTCAGCCTATAATGGAAATCTCTCTTGCTTATGTTCCTGTATTATTTATACTGATTTACAGTATAAATTTCAAGTATGAAATATCCACCGTAGTACCTTTGAAATGTAAGTTCCTCCTAAACAGAGTCAAACTCAAACTTTGTTCCCAAGCAGATGAATTTAATGCAGTTTCTTGACAGTAAATTGAAGGGGAAATCTCAAAAGTGAGAGCAGTAAGTACGTAACGGAGGTCTGCAGGGATTTCCTATGTAGAGTTTACAGTGATTTTTCACAAACTTTAATACATCACTTCACTTCGTCTCCTTCTTCAGCCTTCTGAGTTGCATGCACTGTTGCATGGCTTTATTTTGTGGTGTGTTGAGATAAAGCTTTAGAGGTCTGGAGCTCTTCAACCTGAAATGTACTCTTTGCACCAAAAAACAAAGACAAGCTAAAGCCATCAGACCGAGTGATATTATTTCCTTGAACCAGAGGCTGACGTTTAAGTGATTCAGTCATGTCTGTAAGAATCTCAATTCTCTCCTTTACCCATAAAAATGGAAACATCTGGCCGGTTTACAATGAGTGTTAGTGGTATTTATTTGCTATGAAAACACAGCACTTGTGGAATTACTGCTAATCAAGTTAATAAAACAGTAAGGATTCACATTCTTCTTGTCCCAGTTAAAACCTCTGCAATTTTATTTCTGATTTTATTGTTGTTGCTGATCACACGAACTATGAGGCAAAAGAAATTCAAAGAGGTTTTTTGTAACAAAAAACTTTCCACACATACAGTATTACTAATTTTCTTTTGTCACTCCAGCAATTGGGGCTCCTGCTTTTCTTATTTAATGGATATACCATTCCAAGTGTTTTTGTCTTCATTATCAGCCATAAGAAGAAAAAAAAAAAAGTAAACCCAATATCCTTCATGGAAGTGTTACCACAATAAATTATAAACCTGAACTAGTACCCACAGCACACCCACGACATCCTACTTCTGCCTTCTCCAGGCAAAGCCGCCTCCATCAATTTCTTACAGTACCCATTCCTTTGGGTATTACTTCTTCTCCCTTCAAAACAGCTCATGGTGTCATGCCCAATCACAGGCATCTTTGGTTTCGGGGGCCAATTTTCAATATTTCAATTATTTGAATAGTGCTGTCCCACCAGCTTGAACTTGCAGGGAAGATGACTGATGCTCTCTTTTACCCTTTGGTTGAATCATTAGCTCACCAAAGGACTGCTGAGCTCTTAGACCCTCTAACAACCTAGGTGCAACAGGAGCCAAATAAAGGCACGGAAAACTCCTGGAGTCAGTATAAACCTTTACTGCTGGCATGCTCTGTTTTTTTTGTGTTGTTTGGGGTTTTGGTTTTTTGTGTGTTTGTGTTGTTGGGGGGGTGTTGGGTTTTGGTTGTTTTTTTTTTTTACTGCAGATATGATACTTTGGACAGTATGAGGCTATGGATGTGTGTTATGATGGAAGATGTGCTGTTCTCCAGCCACTTTTCTTAGTTTACAGATAGCCTTTCCCAGCTTCAGTCTGTAACACTATCTAAATTTAGACCATTAGCCATACAGAATCGACTTTGTTTTATTTGCATATAAAACACATGCACTTGTGCTCTTCTAGGCCCCAGCACCGACTTTGTTTGCAAGAGAACTGTGGCACAGAAATACTAACTTTCTTGCTATTCATTTCCTGGCTTCTATGGTTAAATACAGGAAATAACCTACAAGCTTTTAGTCAAACATTAGCATTAGCAGACATGCGAAATGAGAGTTATCAAGGAAAGTTTCTGTGCTCTGAAAATTATTCCTTGACTTGTTGTGTGAAGAAGAGAAGCAGCTGGTACACGTGGTGCATTTTCGTGAATAACCTTTCTCAAGAACATCCAAAATAAGAGTATACGGTATCATAAGTGACATTGTTAAACCAATTTATACTCAAAGGAGACAGAGCTGTTTAACCATTTTGATCAGTTGTTTAGTACATTTAAAATTCTGAATCCCACTTACACTAAAATTACAAGAAGTTTAAGGAAAATACCTTTTGAATTTAGTTCCAATACAGTGGGTCACATTTTATTGTAATATTTTGTAAGAGATTATTAACAAGCTGTGTGCTGCAATGAACAGTTGGTTTTGACGTTTAGAAAGAACAAGCTGTAACAGTAACTACATTGTGGAAACAGATGTGATTTGGTCTCATCTACAGAGGAAAATCAATTTAATACAAACTGCTGAAAAACAGGTTCCAGCAGCGACCGCTTCTCTTCCTTTGCAGTGGTCAGAAAAGAAGGTTCATTGGTTTGAGTGTTTTCTCTTTTGAGTATGACAAGCCATTACTGACAAATGAATGTGCCTCTTGCACTACACTCGTTCAGAAGAATAGTAAATTTGTTATTTTGAATGTTTGTACAATTCTACTCCTGAGTACTAGTTTGAAAAGTTTGACAACAGTGATATACCAGAAAAATTGAAAGGTAATGCAAACCTATGGATAGAAAGACTTGTCACCTCAATTTCAAGTTAGAATTCCTAGCTCGAATAGAAGACTATACCTAAAATAATTTAACAAGTTATATAGTACTCAATTTCAGGAGCAGAAATAACAGCAATCCACTGATGTACAAGTACCAGGCCAGATATGACAAAGTAGGAATATGTGACCACATCGGTAAGTACAAACTCACCTTCAATACCAACCAGAAAAAAGCAAAAGACAAACAGCACTTCAGAGGCAGCTCTGTCTTTTATGGATGAATTATTTGTACTACTAGTTGCCTAAGACTGCCACAGAAAAGTCTTCATTAGTATGTTCCATAAATTCTGGATCTGCTACTTAAAGTGTTCCATTAATCTGGATTGCATTTTGAAGCAACATCTTGGTTGCTAAACAATGAACTGGAAAAAGCCATACCTGCAAGATGATACTGGGAACGCTTCATTTTTTAAAGAGAAATTAAGATATCTAGCTAGTATTTTTCTAACTATCCCAGCAGCTTACCCGCTGCAGAAAGAGTGGGATAAGCTGAAATTGTTTGAAAACTTCATCAAGCAAAACTAACTCTTACAAGGTCACTTGACACAACATATACTTCCATTATTACGTGACATTATTTGGAGCACATTTTGTTGCCCCTCATGGCTGAGAATGTATAAATAACATATGACATATGAGCACGTCATATGCCATGAAGGCATATTCTTTTGGGGAAGGTGTAGGCTCACAGTCCAAGCTTCATACTGATGTTCATCTGCTGATGAACTACAGCACTGGTGCCTAACCTTTCTTTAGGGATAAGCTATTCAGTTTATAAAGAAGCCACTCACGAACTCTAAGCCTCAGCTTTGCTTGTTAGCTATCATTAAATGTGTCAGTCACATGACTAGAAATGCTGATGTATCCCATCAACACGTTTAATGCATACGAAAGCACAGTGCATATGGACTGGTTTACATGAGGACAGGCTGTTTGTACATTCTGTAACATGACAGCACATTTGTGCCACCACATCACCAAAATACTCTTTTATCCCCCACATTTTGATTATTGGTAGACTGTGGCAAAAGCAAGGAGCAAGCTATAAGCTCATATTTTGATCATCTCTGAATGGCAGAGCACGCATCCACACATTGGAAGAGGAAATGAGATATTTTTATAAGTGATATTTATTATAGCCCTGGATTCTTTCTTGCATCTAAAAGCGCTGACCTTTTGTTATTCTTAATGCGACAAAATGGCTACAGAACTTCAAGTAATTGCCTTAGGCAAACCAATACATAACATGCAGAACTTGTTCTGTGCAACAACTGTGTCTGGTAAGTAAATCATGATTATGAACAAAACTGAGTAGATTTCTGTACTGTCACAAGGAGTGATTGCTTTTTTCAGAGTTTCCATACGCAATTAAATTCCCTCCAAACTATGACAGGAGTTTGATATAGTTAGCAGACATGATCTAGACTGCCAATGTTAAATAATACTGCAGCCACAGCCGTTGTACTAGGAACCTGAAGACCTGGATCTGGCATTGCAGCAAAAGGCAGCAGACTACCTGAGAAAGAATGAAAACGTAGTACAGACATGACATAACTGGCTGAGTCAATGGCACAGATACCATGCAGCAAGATGTCTCACAAGTAGTGGCGTCGAACAGACAATACCTTGGTGGTTAGGGCACCGCAAGGGGTTCTTGCAGAGACCACTCATTTATTAGTTAGAAAAGAAAGTGCCTCAGTACTTATCCGGGCTCTCATTTTGTAAGGACAACAAGCCCTAAGCGCTGCATTGGCATTTTTTAGATATGAGGTCTAAAACCAGAACGCCTCTCCCCATATTTCTAGTCAAGCTTTCACTCCCAGAACTCCGCGTTTCCACAGACTGAGCACATCGTACAGTCTGGTATCAGATGGAGGCAATTCCAATTTCACCCAGAAACATTTTTCTTGTCACTCCATCTCTACCTTTCACTTACCAAAAGGCAATTCCTAGCCTCCAGAGGCGGCGTGCAAAGCGTGCGCATACCTTCAGAGCTCCGGGAAAAAACAAATAAATAAATACAGGACGTAGAGGCAGATGAAGAAGGCCCACAGCTTTGTAGCCCACTCACCCTCCGACAAACACCCCGATCCTCGCGGGCTGCCCTTGGTCCGTCACCCGTGACTTGCCAGGCCGACACGACGCCGCGGG